TCAATATCATTGAGAATGTGGTTGCGGTGGCTGTGCTGGAACAGATCGTTGTCCTGCTGCCACAGGTTGCAGTGGACAATCTTGCTGTGTGTGCCCTATATTTCCGCAATAAAAACACTCTGAAGCATTTGAGTTCGTTCCTTGAAGTTGTGCAGCAGAAGGAGGTAGTCGTCCCTGACCACCTCGTCCTGCTCTAAAATTCCCACGGGGGAATCCCCGTCCTCTTCCCCTGGGGTTATAATTTTGAGTAATTGCAGCTGCCAGTAAACTGATTCCCCTTTCTTTCTCCTTCCACTCTTATTTCTTTTCTTCCTTCTGCTTTTCTTCTTCTCTCTTTTGCTTTTCCTCTTCTCTACCATCGTAAACAAAAGTTGCAATGCTAAGAATTTTTGGTAGGGTTTCCCCCTACCAACCAGGCATGTGCTTCTTAAAATATTTATTGATATCCAGAGCCGACTGTTCCACAGATACACTGATTGGTAATGGCTCTTGAAAATTATTTTCTGTCATTCCCCCATATTTTAAGAGCACTGCCTTTAATCGTGCCCAATAATCACTAGGATGTTCATCCGATTTTTGCCTGCATTCCATAACTTTTGTCCAATTAGTCACTTTTTCTCCACACTGTCGTACAGCTTCTATAAGTTGCTGCACAGCAGTCTGGTAAATTCTCACTCCTTCTGTAGTGTTCAGATTCCAATTTGGGTCCTGGTCTGGCCAAGGGATTAACCCTTGTCCTCTTTGGGCTCTCCCTCTTTCTTTTAGGAATATTTTTTTCTCTTTCTTCAGGCTGAAATAGTTCTCACAATAAAGTTTTCATATCATTCCAATTAGGCCTATAATCTGTTACTATGCCAGATAACAACTGTGCACATTTTTCTGCAGCATGTCTCAGCCTGGGCATGTTACTTTTCCAGGAAGCTAGATCTCCTTGTTTCCAAGATTCATGTGTCTACTGCAGTAACCGCAGGGACATCAGGAGGAGCTCCTGGTCCAGTTCTTGGATTCAGAATGTATTCAAGCCTCATTAGATACATTCCTGCAGAGACAAGGTCAGTTTCCTAGCTATCGGAGCAGAGGGATGTGAGCTTGCCCTCCTTTTTAATAATTTTGGTCTTTGTTGTGCCCAGTTGTACCATATATACCCGTAGTCAATAGCCTGACTACCCATATCTTCCAGAATCATTCTTAGGAACTTTTGTTTATGAGGCTTAAAGTTCCTTTTGGAGGCCACACATCTGCTGGTCCTCCTCCTCTATCATAAGTCAGGGGTGGCCATCCCTCCTGGCACAAAGTAATCAGCTTTCACTTTTGTAGTATTTGTGCCAGGGGTATCTTTTTCCAATTTTCTAGTACCTTAGCAAGGGGTGTCCCCCTTTGAATGCTGGGTACATTTCCCATTTTCTCCTATGACCAAGTTTAAACACAGAAGTACTCTCAGTATATCTGGAATCACTTGTTCCCAAGTCTCAATAGGTGAACTCACCTGATACTTTTGCTGGCTTTTGAGTATTGGTTACGGGTCTGCCCAAAGAGAGTCCTGGTCTCCTTCCTCTTGTGTTCTAGAGTCCCATTTGGGGTGCCAATTCTGTTCAAGAATTCTCAGTCATGGGTTTCTCTAGGTTTGCTTTATTAACAACTCAGAGTTGGGCCACCACCGCAGTGAATGGCAACCCTCCAAAAATTTCTCAGTCTTGTGTACCTTTTTACCACCCATTATCCCAGTCCAAAGTCTTTGCAATTTTCCAGTTGATCTCAGTTCCCATGTCGTTGTCATTCATCAGCATCTTGTCTCATCAATTCTTCTCTTGTTCCGTCCAGTCATCATCCTGTGGGTTTCAAAGTCCGTCTTGGGTCAGTCATCTTCTCACCCCTTTACCTTGAAGTCTCATACCTACACAATTCTGACAAAACCCCTCTGGTTGTTCCATTAACTATTTCACACTTATCTTTATAAGTTCTATATATTTTAATCACTCCCCAGCTAAGCACCTGTATCTTGCTGATTTTTCATCTTTTGTTTGATCTGTCTCTACTGATTAGCTTGGCTGGGTTTTAATCTGGTCCTGGACTGGGGCTATACCAGGGGGCAGACTGAGAACACTGTCCATGGCCTGTTGAGCAGCTCTGTTGCCATTAATAACCTTAACCCATTCTATATTAATTTCTAACAGTCTTAATAGTCCTAAATTTTCTAAAATCTTCTACACAGACTTCTGTCAGTAGAGAGAGGCAGAAAAAAAATCTTTCCAGTAAAATACAAATCAAGTTTTCTAATTACTTGGACTATCCAACTGGGGGAAGTTGCCTTCACTCGTCTTGTTCCTCTACCATCATGGATCTTTGGCAGGAGTTCCTAAGACAAGTATCTTCCCTGGTCACAACTACTGCTTACTTTCATTATGTAGTATTCCTGCTAACGATATGCATCACTCAAACCGGAGTTTCATTACATAATAAAAGCATAGAAGAGTTTAGGTTGGAAAAGTCTTCTGGAGGTCATCTGGTCCAATGCCCCATACAAAACGGGGCCAACTTAGATCAGGTTGCTCAGGGCCCCATTCAGCTATGTATCTCCAAGGATGGAGATTCCACAGCCTCTCTGGGTACCTGTTCTAGTATCTGACAGCCCCCAAGATGAAAAGCTGTCCATATGGCTGTCCAATTGGAATTTTCCTTGCTGCAGCTTGTGTCTGTTGCCTCTCATCCTACCGCTGTTAACTTCCAGGAAGAGTCTGGCTCTGTGTTCTCTACACAATCCAGTTAGGGCAGTTGAAGACATAAGATCTTCCCCTTGCTTTCTCTTCCCAAGACCCAGCTCTCTCTGCCTCCTTAAACATTATGATGTGCTCCAAAACCTAAATCACCTCAGTGGACTAGCTCCAGTATGTCAATTATTTGGGGAGCTCAAAACTGGAGACAGGTCTCACAAGTGCCAAAGAGAGGGGAATAATCCCTTCTCTATTGACCTGCCGGCTACATTCTGATACCACCCAGTATACAGTTGACTTTCTTCACTGCAAAGGTGCACCACTGATTCATGTTCAGCTTGGGCACTTGAGTGCTGTCCAGCAACACTGCCTTCTGGCCAGCCAGCAGTCAGCCTGTATTGTTGTGCATGCTCTAGATACAGATTTTTTTTTTTTTTTTTTTTTTTTTTTTTTGAACTTT